GGGCTTTCGTTTTGAGGGTACTTAGGTGTGATTCTTACAGGGCCTAGTTTTTCTTCTTCTTCATTTCTTTTATTTTTGTTTTATTTTTCTTTTTCTTTTTCTTTGTTTTTTGAAAGGGGTGTCCGCCTGGACCCGAAAGCCCTAAACCCGCTTCCTTTCTGCTCTGCGTCAGGTCCGCCTTCTTTCTGCGCGACACGAAGCGCAGGCCCCTGTGTTCGTTCCAGAGCCGAAAGCGCCTGTGGTAGAGTTTGGCCTCGTTGAAGGTGGGTTGCTAGACCTCACCTCAACCCCTGCCCATACTTTGGCTGGCTGTAAATTGGGGTCTGCAAGTAGGGGAGCGATCGGTTTAGCTGATGGTAACCTTTGTCTGGGTACGTACGTTTAAGTGGCCACGCTCAAGCAGAGGACGGCTGAAACGTGTTTGTAAACTGCGACCACTGGGTAGACTAGAGGGGTCTGTGGCCATACAGCCCAACTTCAGGCCACTCAGCTCAACACAGGAGCCTAGTGTAGACAGCTACCAAGTTACCGAGATTATTCCTTGATAAGCCGCTGATAAATATGCTACACACTACCAACGACACCCGTACTCCAAATCAAGCAGGCCACCCATCTTGAGCCCAAAACCTCACAGTCCGTGCCATTGGGATCAGTACCCCCGTATACAAACAGTTTCTGAAAAGGGATTCGAGTGCCCTCTAGAATAATCCCTACTAAGGACTGTTAGTATAAGTCAAGGGGGAGCATCCAAAACAGCTAACCCTAAACCCTAAACCCTAAACCCTAAACCCTAAACCCTAAACCCTAAACCCTAAACCCTAAACCCTAAACCCTAAACCCTAAACCCTAAATCCTAAACCCCCCCAAACTCCTCAGCTGCTTTTTGCAGGCTCACACGCCTGGCCGAGCAGTCCTTCTGCTACAGCGCCTTCGGGCTGCTACTGTGCGCCCGCGGATGGCCTGTCCTTCCGCAAAATGACCACCCCGAAACCCAAAACCCTAAACCTCTCTATCATAATGAATTTAAACCCTAATTCGAAAGTCGGCAACGGTGAATTTCCTGGCCTCAAAAGTCGGCAACGGTGAATTTCCTGGCCTCAAAAGTCGGCAACGGTGAATTTCGGCCTCAAAAGTCGGCAACTGTGAATTCAAACGTCCGCAATTCCCCCACCCTCCCCCCCCACCCCCCCCCACCCCCCCCCCCACCCCCCCCCACCCCCCCACCCCACCCCCCCCCCCCCCCTCCACCCCCCCCCCCCCCCCCCCCCCCCCCCCCCCAGAGATTTTAAGCCTACTGGGAATGTATTGAGTGAACTTTGTATTTTCTCAATGTTATGGGTTTCTTGGGTGGGTGGTTTTTTTTTCAACGCTTGACAAGCTGCTTGACTAGTGAATGCTCGGACTTGAGATGCTGAACCCTAAACCCTAAACCCTAAACCCTAAACCCTAAACCCTAAACCCTGAACCCTGAACCCTTGAATGTGTGTCCGATCGGACATTGAGCTGCCCTTGTACTGGCCGGGGAATGGCCTCGAAGACCTGGAACAGTACATAGGGTTTAGGGTTTAGGGTTGAGGGTTTAGGGTCTAGGGTTTAGGGTTTAGGGTTTAGGGTTGGGGGTTTAGGATCTAGGGTTCAGGGCTACTCCTGCCGAAGGGAGGAACCCCAAACCTGAAACCCTAAACCCGAAACCCCTGAGCAAGTCGAGATGCGCAGGTACTGCCGCTTAGCCTATCCCGGAGGCGCGATGTGGTGAGCCAAGCCTTGATCATCCCCCACCATCTATCAAGCCCGGGTTTAGGGTTTAGGGTTTAGGGTTTAGGGTTTAGGGTTTAGGGTTTAGGGTTCAGGGTTTAGGGTGAGAACCCCAAAAACGACCCCCCAAAGTCCCAAAACCCTCGCCCTCCAAGCCCGAAACCCATCCTTCGGGCTTCGGGCTTAGGGCTTAGTGCTTAGGGTTTAGGGCGTAGGGTTTATGGCTTAGGGCTTAGGGTTTAGGGTTTAGGCTTTGGGGTTTAGGGTTGGTGGTGTTTTTGCTGCCTAGCTGTATAGATTCAGGGTGCAGACGGTCTAGGTTCACACATCAAAGCGCGACAAGCCCCCCAGGCCCTAAACTGAAGCCCTAAACCCTCAACTGCATGGATGAGCCCTCAACCCCCACAGCCTAAGCCCTCAACCCTAAGCCCAAAACTGCAGCCCTCCAAGCCCTAAACCCTAAGCCCCACCACTCATCAGAGCGACAAAAACCCCTTTTCGACTCTCAGCAAGTTGTCAAGCCTAGATAAAGCCTGTGAGCCCCTTGACCCTTGAGGAGCTCTTCAAACCCGAAGGCCCCTAAACCCTGAACCCTGAACCCTAAACCCTAAACCCTAAACACCCTAAACCCTAAACCCTAAACCCTAAACCCTAAACCCTAAACCCTAAACCTAAACCCTAAACCCGAAATCCTAAACCCTAAACCCCAAAAACCCCAAACCCAATTTTCTGAGGCTAGAACCATGGTGCGCTTCGTCTGGTTCCTTACCCTTGCTTGTGGGGATCCGAAGTATGGGCGCTTATTCTACATAGTGTAGTATACGGGTTAAACAACAAGGGACGTGACTTTTAGGGCCCATACTTGGAACCCTACACATGGGGGTTTCCGAAATTAGGGGCACCTTACTGGGGTCCCTGCTTTAAGGGAATCCTACTATTTGGGGTTTAGGGTTTAGGGTTTAGGGTTTAGGGTTTAGGGTCTAGGGGTCCCCTATTTTTTGGAACCCTACAAATATCCTGGAGGTAGCGTCGTCTGGGATTGGTCGGAGACCGCTTTCGGCTTCCCGGTACTTTGGGCGCGGGTGCCCGATGTCGGCCCTGAAGCCTAAACCCTAAACCCTAAAAACCCTAAAAACCCTAAAAACCCTAAACCCTAAACCCTAAACCCTCAACCAACTACTGGTTCTTCGGAAAGAACGAGGGGAGAAGTTGTATTTATGCCAGACATGAGGGACTACTTGCTTAAGAACAACACTTCCCCGAAAAATAAAGAGAACCAAAATGACATCTTCTTTTTTACAAGGGTAAGGTTGCGGTTATTATCTTTACTTTTTGTTGGGGTTCTTAAGCAAATAGAAAACGTATCTACTTCCCTCATTAAGTACCCAGTAAGCACCCGTAGGTCTATTGTGCGAGATCTGTAGCAGTTGGACCCCTTTGTATTTATTATTCCTAAACTTTCCCTCTTGATGCTTCAGTAGCTGAGTTGCTTGCAGCAGCCTTGGGCTAAACCTTAACCCCAAACCCTAAACTCTAAACCCTAAACCCTAAACCCCAAACCCTGAACCCTAAACCCTAAACCCTAAACCCTTAACCCTAAGCCCTAAGCCCTAAGCCTTGTGTCTTGTTCCGACCTGCTGCTGAGGCGGTCGTCTTCCTGCCGCTTTTTCTTCTGGACTGGCGTAGTCCTCAAGACTTGCGGTTCAGGGTTCAGGGTTTAGGGTTTAGGGTTTGGGTTTAGGGTTTAGGGTTTAGGGTTTAAGGTTTAGGGTTTAGGGTTTAGGGTTTAGGGTTTGGGGTTTGGGGTTTGGGGTTTGGGGTTTGGGGTTTGGGGTTTGGGGTTTGGGTTTCGGGTTTAGGGGCATTTAGCTGGAGGCGGAAGGCGCCCTGTTGATGTACATCCCTAGGCTCCATGAGCCCTGGAAGCACTGCAAGTTCTGAAAGCCCTACGAGCTCTGCAAGCCCCGTACGGTTTAGGGTTTAGGGTTTAGGGTGTAGGGTTTAGCCCGGGAAGTTGGCAGCCCTAAATTCCGAAAAGCGCGTCAAGATTGATGTCAGACAGTCGTTAGTGGGTTTCCCTTACTGAACGAATCGATTGGTCTCATCTATCCGCCCCAGACCCCAAAACCCTGGAACCGTCCCCCCCCCCCCCTCCCCTCCCGCCACATCCTAAACCCTTGACCCGAAAAGTTAGGGTTTAGGGTTTGGGATTCAGGGTTTAGGCTTCAGTATTTAGGGTTTAGGGTTGAGGGTTTAGGGGATGTCCCAGAAAGGCGGAATGTGGCACACCTCCGCTACTTGCGGGACAACCGCTTCCGCTTCGTCACCCATGATAGCCAGCGGTGCCCCATGAAAGGGTCTTCAAGGAGTTACAAGCTAGTGCTCAGGTGTGCGTTTAAATGGCTTAAGCGGGAGTCTGATCAGTGTCCGTGGCAGTTGCCTCATGTGATGGAGGACGTGGTTCAGGGTCCCGCTTGCACCTGCAATGCTCGTCTTGGTTGGTCTTGGAAACATGCTCTCGCTTTTCCGGAAGACGTTCCTAAAACCCTGAACCCTGAACCCTAAACCCTAAACCCTAAACCCCAAACCCTAAACCCTAAACCCTAACGCCCAAAGCCTGAACCCTAGACCTTTGCAAGTCTGCACTTCGAGTGTTTGTCACGGTGTGCAGCCTATTGGCTTTCTGGCGTAGCATGCCACGGCGAATGAGCGCTTTCTTTTCGGGGCTGTAAGCTTCGAGGGCTTTATCGCAAGGCTTATAGGGTTTCAGGGTTTAGGAGAAAAACAGACTTCTACTCGGCATTTGTTGGTTTTTTTTTGACGGTTGATCATTGCAGAACCCCATAGTACACATGCTTCCGGGTTCAGCCCCGGTAGATACACCGCAAGGAGCATGTGGTTACCCCAACGCCTAGCATAACCCCCTGGTTCGAAGGAGGGAACGAGGGAATAAGGAGCCCTAAACCCTAAACCCTAAACCCTAAACCCTAAACCCTAAACCCTAAACCCTAAACCCTAAACCCCAAACCCCAAACCCTAAACCCTAAACCAGCATAAGGAGCCCCGAAGTTCACCACAGGATGGTCAGAAGCCATCTGGTCCACATTTTGGGGCCTCGGGGCGGCCAAAGCGTCCACAAAGCCCTAAACCCTAAACCCTAAGGCCTAAACCCTAGACCCTAAACCCTAAAGTCGTGAAGACGTGTAAGAAATCCAGAAGAGCGCAGAGCTTGATGGGCTGCCGAGATGCTCCAGGCTGCTGAACCTCCGCGCCATTTTTTCGGGAGTTCTCGTGGGCGGCTCTACACCCTAAACCCTAAACCCTAAACCCCAAACCCTGAACCTAAACCCTGAACCATAAACCCTAAACCCTAAACCCTGAAGCCTGAAGCCCAAGACCCCGGCTAGAGCCCCCAAGGTTAGGGTTTAGAGTTTAGGGTTTAGGGCTTAGGATTTAGGGTTTAGGGTTTAGGGTTCAGGGTATAGGGTTTTTGGATCCTACCAGGGGTCTGGGTAGTCGCTGAACCCCGAACACTAAAGCCTTACGTACAGGCCAACAGACCCGGCCTCGCTTGCCGTCCCCAGAGCACCCCTAAACCCAAAACCCAAAACCCAAACCCAAAACCCAAAACCCAAAACTCAAAACCCAAAACCCAAAACCCTAAACCCTAAACCCTAAGCCCTAAACCCTAAACTGCCAGAATCCCAAAGCCCCCAAACGCTGAGGGCCGCTGACATCTGTCAGAGTTCTAGTGCACGGGTCGAGACCAAAGATTTTGGAACCCCCTCCCCTCGCCCCCGGCAAATGAGGGTTGCCGAGATTAGGGTACCTGTTGGGTCCTTATGATAATGGAATCCTACTATTTTGGGGTCTATATGTGGGGTCCCCTATTTCGTGCACCCCCCAAATCGTGACAGATTTTGAGTAAAGTCCAGCCCTAAACCCTAAACTCTTGATGCAGGAACTGCGCACCATTCCTACTTGCAGTAGCAACATACCCCCTCTCTTGTCAGAAGAACAGCAAGGCATCCGCAACCTTAAACCCTTAAGCCCTTACACCCCTAAACCCTTAGACCCTATACTACGCAGATGAAGTCGTCAGGCGATAACGCCAGAGTCAAAGCGATCGCAGGCGGGGGACTGGCACTGGGTTGAAGCTTGCTTGGAGGTTCATAGTTGGAGCTGGGTTATAAGTGGGGCGGGGGGGGGGGGGGTTGGGGGCGATAGCTACACTTGCAGGCTGCCCAACCCGAGGCCCCAAACCCAGACTCTGACTGGTGTTGCTAACGAGCCTTGAAAGCAAGCGGTCTTCGAATTCTTCCGGCTTTCGGGGGCACCTTGGCAGAAGCAGTTGACATGTGTTTGAGACTGGTCATTCTCTTCCGTCTGGGGTTTAGGGCAGTGCTGGCTTGTTTGGAGCCCAAGAGTAACCAAACAGCAGCAAGGCCCCCTGACCCCTAGTAGCCCCATTGTCTATCGAAGCACTCAACTCTGAACTTCGCCTTCTTTGCCAGACCCCTGGTAGGATCCAAAAACACAGATCCCCTTAAGGGTTCCCAAGAATGACCCAATCGTAGTATAGGGTACTACTTGGGGGTTCTCTTTTTTTTTGGATCCTCCCAGGGGTCTGGGGTCAAAGGGGGGCAGAGAGACAAGAGAGCCCCACACGTCAGTGGAGCGTCAGACCGTCCCCAGGCGAAGGCGCTGAAGGACTGACAGCTGAGGGTGTCACAAGGTTCTGGGTACACCCTAAGCCCTAAGCCCTGAGCCCTAAACCCTAAACCCTAAACCCTAAACCCCAAACCCTAAACCCTAAACCCTAAACCCTAAACCCTAAACCCTAAACCCTAAACCCTAAACCCTAAACCCAAGGCTTGGCCTCTTGTATACACCCGAAGCTTTCAGCCCTACTCGCTTGAGATTGCAGAAGGGATCCGATCAGGTGCAAGTCCAACCCTATCACCTTCGCTCAATCAAACCCTAAACCCTAAAGCCTAAACCCTAAACCCTAAACCCGAAACCCTAAACCCGAAACCCACAACCTCTCTCCCTTGCGCCTTTCCCCGTCAGCTTAATCCGCCCTACCCTATGACCCGAAAACCCTCAAACCCTGAGGGTTTGGGGTTTAGGGTTTTGGTTTTTTTTTCAGCCTTCGAGCCCTCAAGCCCTCAAACCCGCAAACCCTCAAACCCTCAAACCTCAAACCCTCAAACCCTCAAACCCTCAAACCCTCAAACCCTCAAACCCTCAAACCCTCAAACCCTCAAGCCCCCCACGCTCTCCAACCCTCAAACCCTCAAACCCTCGAGGAAGAAGGCAATGACTTGGCGAAGCAGGGGGACAAGGCGGAGGCCCCCACAGAGCCCAGCAAGCTGCAAGTACCAGAAAGCTCATCGCTGCTGTGCCCCGGGAAGCTGTGCTCGAAACCCTGAATACCCTCAACCCTTCAGGCCCTAAGACCCTTAAGACCCTTATAGAAAAGCCCTGAAGACCCTAAAGACCCTTCAGGCCCTAAGATTCTTCAGACCCTAAGACCCTAAGACCCTAAACCCCTTATTCTTACCCCTAATAAGACCCTAAACCCTTATAACTACACTAAAGAATTGCCTTCAGGTCCTAAGACCCTCAAGACCCTAAGACCCCAAACCCTTAAGACCCGCTCTACTTACCCCGAAAGAGATGCCTGTGGCCACAAGAAGGCGCTCAAGAGGTACGAGAAGGGCATCCGGCTCCTGGGTACCGGCCCCTGGATCCAGAGAGAGTCCTCAGAGACCCTCACAGGGGTTTAGGGTTTAGGCATGATAAGGGTATTAGGGTTTAGGGTTTAAGGTCAGGGTTTAGGGTTTAGGGCTTCATTTGGCTTCAGTTTTTGCTCCAATCCTTGGGCAGTGGGTTTATATCATAGTGATCATAGCCATCACTGCAGTACTGCCAAGAACGGAAGTACAAAAGTGCTCGTAAGAATCGTAGAAGAGTAAGAGCAATATTTTTTTGCCTTGAAGTTCAACTCAACATCAAGCTCTTGACCCCAGGCCTTCTCAACTACGAGCTTGATGAGGAGGGCCTAAAGGCCAGGCTTGAGGGTTTAGGGTTTAGGTTTTGGATGAAGTTTGAAGCCTTGACAGGGAGATTTCTCTGCCAAGGCCGAAAAGGGTTGATTCCGAAATTCGGGGCACCCCCTTCTTTTCGGGGGAGGCGGGGGTTCTAGTACAAGGACTATCGTACTGTGGGGTATGAATGATACCCTTGTTTGAGACGAACCAAATGGCTCCCTAAACCCCAAACAACCCCAGACCCTAAACCCCAAACAACCCTAAAACCTAAACCCAAACCTCCCCATTTCCCCCCCCCCCCCCCCCACCCGCCCCCCGATTACCCCACCCGATTTCCCCCAAATAACCCCCCAAATAACCCCCTAAACCCTAAACCCTAAAGCCTAAACCCTAAACCCTAAACCCTAAACCCCAAACCCTAAACCCTAAACCCTAAAGCCTGAACCCTAAACCCTAAACCCTAAACCCTACACCCTAAATCCTAAACCCTAAACCCCGAAGCGCGGAGGCCCTGGAAGCCCAGACGCAGGAAGGCCGCGAGCTGCTGTCGATCCTCGCGGCGAACGCGGCGCAGATGTGCGCTGCGAAGGGGCGGAGCGGTTAAGGGGGTTCAGGGTTTGGGGTTAGGGGTTTAGGGTTTAGGGTTTGGGGTTTAGGGTTCAAAGTAGCAGTTGTTTAGGGTTTAGGGTTTAGGGTTTGGGGTTTGGGGTTTAGGGTTTAGGGTTAGGGTTTGGGGTTTGGGGTTCAAAGTAACAGTTGTTTAGGGTTTAGGGTTTAGGGTTTAGGGTTTAGGGTTTAGGGTTTAGGGTTTAGGGTGTGGAAGAAGCGTCTTTTCCGACCCTGACTTGATACATCAGTCACTGCGCCGCACGCTTCTCAGATGCATGCGAATGGCGCCGAACATCTGGAGGTTTTTCGGGGCCCCGTGGCGCCCTTTCCCCCTTTTTTTTGGGGGGGGGGGGCTCAGGGTTTCCTTATAAGGTAACCAACCCACAAAAAAGGGTTCCCTTGTTACAAGATGGTTAATGGGCTACCAGGGAGGTTTTCTCATGGCCCTTTGAGGCCCCCTTTGAGCAGTTTTCTTTGAGCTGCCGTTACATGTGATGAAGTGCTTGGACACGGAGACTCCCAATACCCCTTAAGGAAGGAAACTTTCCTTAACATATACTAGGGTTCCTTATATGGTTTAAGGAACATGCTAGGGTTCCTTGTATGAGGAATATTCCTCAGAATTAAGGGGTATAGGAGTCACTGCATCGGGGATGCAGTGGGAGGTACATGGATCCGGCATGCCGCCAGCTGTCCAAGGCGGGCTCGTAGCCGCCATGTTCGCTAAGCTTATAAGCCCCAGACGGTTGAATGGAGGTACTCATAAGCAGGGACAGAAGTGAGGTGTCCATGGTTAGAACCGTATTTCGGGTAAGTACTCAAAACTTAATTACAAAGTAAACCCTACATATGAGCACCCATGAACCTTCAAGTGTAGCGGTGTAGCAGCGCTCGAACCCTGACTCCCCCTCTCCCCGGCCACGTTTGTGCTTTGGTTTTGCTGTGGCTGGCTTCGACTGCTAGCTCAGGAACCCAGAGGTTTAGGGTTCAGGGTTTAGGGTTTAGGGTTTAGGGTTGTTTAGGGTTGTTTAGGGGTTAGGGTCAGGGTTTAGGGTTTAGGGTTTAGGATGCAATGGGGCTCTTATACATTCCTACCTGCATTCTGGCAGCCCTGAAGTCCTACGTCCGACCAAAGCCACAACCACTTCCTACGTCACCTGCCTCTCAACAAAGCAGGAACGATTAAGCACCAGCGTCCCACAAGGGTCCGTACGATAGGGTATCTAAGTTAGGACCATTTTCTTTGGCTTCTCAAGTACTTACTGTTGGTTAGTGGGAATGAGGGAATGAGGTACCCTATATCCCCCTACATACCCCCTATGGGATTATATAGGGTACCTCATTCCCTCATTCCGTACTAACCAACAGCAAGAGTATAGCAGCATTTCCCTCGGCCAAACTTATACATGAGTATGCCGGGGAACTCAAAGTGTGCTCGGGGTTTAGGGCTTAGTCTTAGTCGGACGCACAAGCTCCAAACCCCAAACCCTAAGCCCTAAACCCTAAACCCTAAACCCTAAATCCTAAACCCTAAACCCTAAACCCCAAAACCCCAAAACCCTAAACCCTAAACCCTGAACCCTGGAGCCATACCAGGCCATCCAAAGGTGTAGTCTGGCGATCGACGCCAATCCAAGCAACGCCAAGGCCCGATCGGCAGCAAGGTGGTGCTGTGAGTAGCTCTGGCTGTCAGGACGAGTTTTCATCGGTATTTACAGTAGTTTCCGGAAAACAAGAGCAGGAGGCACGAGGGTAGGATTTGGGTGTTTTGTCTCAGGTTGCATAGTACGGAGATAGGTTGATTGATCGATCGAGAGATAGATAGAGAGCGTTTTATGCCCAAAACACTGGTACTTGCAGCGTTTTCGCCTCTCAGTACAACATACTGCGCAAGAATGTACCAAGCCCGAAATGTTTTTGCACGCTTAACACCGTAGCCCCTGCCAAGAACCTTACCAAAACGGCAAAACACCCGAGGACCAAAGGGCAAGGTCGCTTGTGACAGAATTTCTTGTTCCACATCCTTGTGCAGTATGTTGTACAAAAGGCGAAAACGCTGTAAACACCAGTGTTTTGGGCATGGACGTAATATGAATGACGTTCTTATCCCCTCCAAGAAAACCAAAAGCAGCCACATGTAGAATCTTTGGCAGAAAAAAGAACGAATTCTACCCTCCACTCTTTCTTCGATTTCGTGCTGAAACCACACGTTTGAGGCCCGCAAGTGAGGAAAAGCATGGCGTCAATTATGGCACTGTCACCTAGTAGTAGTAGTAGTAGTAGTAGTAGTAGTAGTAGTAGTAGTAGTAGTAGTAGTAGTAGTAGTAGTAGTAGTAGTAGTAGTAGTAGTAGTAGTAGTAGTAGTAGTAGTAGTAGTAGTAGTAGTAGTAGTAGTAGTAGTAGTAGTAGTAGTAGTAGTAGTAGTAGTAGTTAGTAGTAGTAGTAGTAGTAGTAGTAGTAGTAGTAGTAGTAGTAGTAGTAGTAGTAGTAGTAGTAGTAGTAGTAGTAGTAGTAGTAGTAGTAGTAGTAGTAGTAGTAGTAGTAGTAGTAGTAGTAGTAGTAGTAGTAGTAGTAGTGGTGGTCGTACTTACTGAAGCCTTCAAGGGGTTGGAGGGTTCAGAGTGCGCTTTGATGCCCCAGGCTCACTTTCGGAGGGCATCGGCTGCTTACGACTACGCCGACAACGTGGCCGGGCACTTGCCGATTTGCACTTCGCTGGCCGCTGGAGGGCTTTTGTTTGCAGAGTTCGGGTCTCGGGTATTCGGGTTTCCAAACCATCAACCCTAAACCCACCCTAAACCCCCAAACCCCAAGCCCCAGGCCCCAAGCCCCAAACCCTAAACCCTGAACCCTAAACCCTAAACCCTAAACCCTAAACCCTAAACCCTAAACCTTAAATAAACCCAACCTGCAGGCCAAGGGTGCCGACGCCATCCTCGCGCAGGCCTTGGGAAGCTCCCCGGCCCGGGGGGGGGGGGCGACCCCTTCTTACCCTCGTTAGGGTTTAGGGTTTAGGGTTTAGGGTTTAGGGTTTAGGGTTTAGGGTTTAGGGTTTAAGGTTTAGGGTTTGGGGTTTAGGGTTTAGGGTTTAGGGTTTGGGGTTTGGGGTTTGGGGTTTAGGGTTTAATGTTGACCTCCAAATAATAACCCCCCCCCCCCCCCCCCCCGTCTCAATTGATTGTTGTTTCCGGCCGCCCCGCCTATTGAGGCGGGGGGGGGGGGGGGGCAGGGCTGTTCTTAAGAAACCTGACCAGCCTGCCCGAACCCTGAACTTACCTCACCTGGACCCTAAACCCACCCTGAACCTTATCTGAGTCGGGATGTTGAACCCTAAGCCCCACTCTGACAACCTGGCTTCAGAAGGGAAATTCTCTATGGACCCCCCCCCCCCCCCCCCAACAAAAAAAGGGCCCAGGGCCGGGATTTCTTGTCATTGAGGGGGGTTTATAATTGAGTTGCGGGATCCGAATTCTTTAATTCGGGGATGTTTTGAATTTGCAGGTTAACAATAGGGTTTAGGGTTTAGGGTTTAGGGCTAGGGTTGGTACCCCCTCATAACGATGACACCAAACAGTCCTTAAGGGGGGGTTATAATAGGGGGTACTATCATCCCTATCCAGGACTGTTAGTACAGGGGGAAGAACTGATCGCCCTAAATCCCTAAATCCTAGAAAGGGGCTCTGGGCAACGATGCCGCTCAAGCGCTAGGCACAGCGGGACATCCGAAAGTTTCTGCAGATGGACCAGGCCCACTTGGGGACCCTAAACCCTAAACCCTAAACCCTAAACCCTAAACCCTAAACCCTAAACCCTAAACCCTAAACCCTAAACCCACTTGGCTTCTACGCTCGTTCCGTTTTTCGGGTCTTCGGTTCCGAGGGAGTCATCCCAGGGCCTATGGACTTAGATTGGGTCTTCCAGGTAGGGAACCCTTAAAGCCTAAACCCTAAAAGCCTAAACCCTAAAACCCTAAACCCTAAACCCTAAACCCTAAACCCTAAACCCTAAACCCTAAACCCTAAACCCTAAACCCTAAGCATGACGTAGCTTGGGACTTCTGTGGGCTCCTTCAGGGTTGCCACGACGTTCAGGCACTGGTCGGAAGACTTCCTTCGGCGTTTACGGCTCTAGGGTGTGGGGCTTCAGGGTTTAGGACCCTAAACCCAAAAACCCTAAACCCTAAACCCTAAACCCTAAACCCTAAGCCCTAAACCCTAAACCCTAAACCCTAAAGTTGGGGTTTTGAGTGCCCAGTCCAGGAGAATGCAGCTGGCAAGGCCCTCCAAGAGCACCGCCCTCGTGATTGCTTCTGCTGAGGGCTTAGGGCTTAGGGTTTGGGGTTTAGGGTTTGGGGTTTAGGGTTTGGGGTTTAGGGTTTAGGGTTTAGGGTTTAGGGTTTAGGGTTTAGGGTTTAGGGTTTAGGGTTTAGGAATTAGAGTTTAGGGTTCAGGGTTTAGGGAGCATTGCTTCGGCCCGAGCCCCCTTGCTGCCTTGCCTCTTCGAGTATGGACCTTTAGGGCTTAGGGTTTAGGGTTTAGGGTTTAGGGTTTAGGGTTTAGGGCTCCCCTCTCAAGCCTTAAGGCGTTTGGCACGGAAGCGGCAGGCGCGCGCGCCCACTCCCATTTGTGTCAAAGGGCGTCCAACCCCTCGGCCCGTTTAGGCCCTAAGATCATGGGTTTCCCTACATGCATTAGGGTTTAGGGCGTTTAGGGTTTAGGGTATAGGGTTTAGGATTTAGGGTTTTAGGGTTTAGGGCTATCCACCCTCTATACTACTCGTAGACTCCCCCCTTAAATATCCCCTAATTAGGTTTAATTCTTCTGGGGGAACCTGGGGGGGGGGTAGTATAGAGGGGGTAGGGCAGCCCATGATAAGACCTACACCCTCAATCCCCCCAAATCCGGGTGGGTGCTTGGGTGTTTCTTTCTATGCCGGCCCACAGACCTCGCAGCCGGGGCAAACAGACCCCTGAAGCGGAAGCGCCCAATCCCAATCCCAATCCTCAAGCCCCTAACCCTAAGCCCCCAAACCCGAAACCCTAAGCCCCCAACCCCCAAAGCCCAAAGCACCTCAAATCCGAAACCCCAAACCCTTAACCCTAAACCCTAAGGGTGCTAGCAAAAACTATGTAGGCGTATATTTACTTGTTGGGTTTGGGAGGCAGGGTTCAGGGTTTAGGGTTGAGGGTTGAGGGTGTCGGATTTAGGGGTAGGGGCCTTGGAGCTGTGCTGATATTTCGCCGGGTTCAAGATGGTGTTTTTTGGAGAAATTCTCAGATGGGTTGAAGGCTAACTGAGTTGGAAGGGTTCCCACAGTCCTTCGCGAGACGTGTGCGCGTTGAAGTTCGCCCTATTCGTAAGTTTCGAAGGGGAGGCAACCCCCCCCCCCCCCCCCCGAACCCCAAAAGCCTACACCCCGAACCCCTAAACCTTAACCCCAAATACAACCCTAGCCCTAAAACCCCAAACGCCCAAAAACCCCGGAAGCCCCAAAACCCCAATCCTAAGAGGCAATCCTTGGCCCAATCATGCGGGAGTCTGCCCGGTGCCTGGCCAGTAGTCTTGTCCAGTGCCTGATGCTTCAGCGTTTGAGCTCTCCATTTTCGGCGGAAGGCTGTTTTGAGACGCCGCAACCGTTTTTTTTTTAAAGTTAGGGCAACCGATTTTGCCCACGTAACAGTAAATAGTCGGGGGACTTATACCTCAACAAACCCAGAAGAAAAACCCTAAACCCTAAACCCTAAACCCTAAACCCTAAACCCTAAACCCTAAACCCTAAACCCTAAACCCTAAACCCTAAACCCTAAACCCTAAACCCTAAACCCTAAAAGGCCCGAGAATCCCAAAACCGCTGAGACCGAGATCTGAGCCCAGGCGAAGTCTGAGCCCGAGACCGAGCCCGAGTGGTTCCAGCAAGTCCCGGGCTCGTAGGGTTTGGGGTTTGGGGTTTGGGGTTTGGGGTTTGGGGTTTGGGGTTTGGGGTTTGGGGTTTGGGGTTTGGGGCTTAGGGTTTAGGGTTTAGGGTTTAGGGGGGGGGGGGGGGCAGTAGAATTTAGTTGCTTTTTTTGGGGGGGGTGGGGCGGGGGGGGGGGGGGGGTTCAGGGTTTAAGGCTGGGGGGTTGGAGTTCAGGGTTTCGGATTTAGGCGGGGGTTGATGGAGTTCAGGGTGCAGGGTTTAGGGGTTCAGGGTGTTAGCGGGAGTGGGATGGGGAGTAGGTCCCGGGGCTTGACTAGAGCTGCTTAGCACTTCCCCCCCTAAACCCTAAACCCGAAACCCTAAACCCCAAACCCTAAACCCGAAACCCGAAACCCTAAACCCTAAACCCTAAACCCCTAAACCCTAAACCCCAAACCCCAAACCCTAAACCCTAAACCCTAAACCCTAAACCCTAAACCCTAAACCCTAAACCCTGAACCCTGAACCCTGAACCCTAAACCCTAAACCCCTAAGCCTCAGAGACGCCGTGGAATGCCCGAGGTCAGCCAGCGAGCCATCTTCGTGTGCATGTGCGGGACCTCCTCCGCGCTTCTGAACCCTGAGCCTGCCCGATGTTCTTATTTTCCAGACCCCAAACTTCCTGGATTCATGAACCCAGCAAGTTCAGGGTTTAGGGTTTTGGGTGTAGGGTTCAGGGTTTGGGGTTTAGGGTTTGCGGTTTAGGGTGTAGGGCTTTGGGGGCTGAAGCAGAGTGAGCGTGAGGAGCAGCGCCGTCGGCAGAGATCAGATAGAGCTGCCGGAAACCCTGCTTTCCATGGCCTCACAAGCCAAGGACAGGCTGTTTCGGGGGTTTTCGGGATCATGCGGAGTTGCCCTAAACCCTAAACCCTAAACCCTAGACCCTAAACCCTAAACCCTATAAACCCTAAACCCTAAACCCTAAACCCTAAACCCGAAACCCTAAACCCCAAACCCCAAAACCTAGACCCCAAATGAATCATGCGGCTTGCATCTGTGAACACCCGAATTGCATGGTATTTCCCATGGATTCGCGCTATTGTCGTGTGAAAAACCGGAAAAGTGCATTTTCGGCAGTATACTTTCGGGAAGGGGAGTTGGTATGAATTTTGCTTGGATGTCTTCAGACATGAGCCTGCAAGGGCTTCAAGTTGAGGGTTGTATGCTGTGCTTCTCTCTTGGCCCTGGCACCCGAGAATCTGTTTAAACCCTAAACCCTAAACCCTAAACCCTAAACCCCAAACCCCAAACCCCAAACCCTAAACCCCAAACCCTAAACTCTAAACCCTAAACCCTAAGCCCTAAACCCTAAACCCTAAACCCTGTGCGCTTCAAGGACAAGAAGGCCATCAGCGTCGGCGTGGCCTATGTCGGCCGCTTGACGGCGCAACCTTGCAATTGGATCCCCGGGACCTGACGTTTCGCGCACAGCTGCGAAGAGGGTTTAGGGTTTAGGGTATAGGCTTTAGGGTTTAGGGTTTAGGGTGTAGGGTTTCCAAGACCCTACTGAGTAGTTGAGCAAGCAAACTTAAGCCTCTGGTAGGAAAGACCTAAACCCGAAATCCAACCCACTAAACCCCCTAAACCCTGAACCCCCTAAACCCTAAACCCTAAACCCTAAACCCTAAACCCTAAACCCTAAACCCTAAACCCTAAACCCTAAACCCTAAACCCTAAACCCTAAACCCTAAACCCTAAACCCTAAACCCTCAACCCTCAACCCTCAACCCTAAACCCTAAACCCTAAACCCCAAACCCTAAACCCTAAACCCTAAACCCTAAACCCTAAACCCAGGCTACAAGTCGCCCGACGAGCTGGAGATGTTCACGGAGGACTTTGCCCAGAGCGACAGGTTGGCATTTCGCCAAACTAGAGGGGTACCCCTTAACGTACCCTCAAAATACTCTCCCCCCCCCCCCCCCCCCCCCCCTTCTTAAACCCGAAGCCCTAAGCCCTAAGCCCTAAGCCCTAAACCCTAAACCCCAACCCTAAAAACCCTAAACCCTAACCCCCCCCCCCCCCCCCTTCCCCCCCTTCCTCCTGCAAGGAGTGGCAGAAGAAGTACTTCCGGATGCTGCGGCTCGGGGAGCGCGCCACGCGCATCCCGAAGCCTCGCCAGGCTCCTCCCCGGCTCTATGGAGGGTTTGGGGTTTAGGGTTTAGGGTTTAGGGTTTGGTATTTAGGGTTTGGGGTTTAGGGTGTGGGGTTTAGGGTTTCGGGTTTGGGGTTTGGGGTTTAGGGTTTCGGGTTTTTGGGGTTTGGGGTTTCGGGTTTGGGGTTTCGGGTTTAGGGTTTGGGGTTTGGGGTTTCGGGTGTGGGGTTTCGGGTTTAGTGTTTAGGGTTTGGGGTTTAGGGTTTCGGGTTCCGGGTTTAGGGTTTGCGGTTTAGGGTTTCGGGTTTAGGATCTAGGGCATGCCTTCGGAGGAAGATAAGAATGTTCTCATGTTTGGGATAAGGATGAGATGATTCTTTGGTGGGGGGGGGGGGTCGCTTAGGAGAAGCTCGGTATTTGTCAGGAAAGGTACCATTTTTTGATGGACCACATAACTAACCTTAGCAGGATGAGCTAGACCCGCACAGCCCTAAACCCTAAACCCTAAACCCTAAACCCTAAACACTAAACCCTAAACCCTAAACCCTAAACCCTAAACCCTAAACCCTAAACCCTAAACCCTAAACACTAAACCCTAAACCCTAAACCCTAAACCCTGAACGTTTCTGGGCTCTGTGGGGCTCTAGGGTGCCTCGGCACGGGAGCGCCGTGGAACCCTAAGCCCTAACTGCCGAGAATGCCAAGTCCCGGGTTTTCGTGAGGGAGAAACCATACCTTGGCCCCACAAGGAGGTTCCCCACAAAGAATGGTAGCCCTAAAGCCTAAACCCTAAACCCTAAACCCTAAACCCTAAACCCTAAACCCTAAACCCTAAACCTTAAACCCTAAACCCTAAACCCTAAACCCTAAACACTAAACCCTAAACCCTAAACCCTAAACCCTAAACCCTAAACCCTAAACCCTAAACCCTAAACCCTAAACCCTAAACCCTGAACCCTAAACCCTGAACCCTGAACCCTGAACCCTGAACCCTCAACCCTAAACCCTGAACCCTGAACCCTGAACCCTAAACCGTGGGCTAAGCCGGCTCTGTTTGCTTGAACCGTTTGTTGTTTTTGTCTTGGGGGGGGGGGGGGGTTTAGGGGTGCAAAAACGATCCCGGTCCAAGAGGTCGTTGTCCACGGTGAGGTGTACAACGTCTGGAGCCTTTTGGAGGCGCAGAACTATGCTACAGGGGTCGGAAGCATCACTAATGGGTATTCCCTTATGGTCCTTTTACGAATATGAATATAGCATAATATCCCCAAAGCGCCATTCTGATTATTAAGGCCCCTCTATTATGCAAGGTTTAGGGTTTAGGGTTCAGGGTGTAGGGGCTCATGTAGTTAGCACGTGTATGGTGGGGTGTTTTGTTTCAGTAGTTCCATAGGGATTCTAAGGGGATGACTTTGGCAGTTGTTTAGTCTCCCGTATTTCATGTTGTGTCCTATGCTATAAGAAATGTGTTAACGACTAGAGACCCCAAATGGCAGATTGTAGACCCCAAATGGCCCGGAGTGTTTCAGCCTTGCGACCTGCGAATCTCCTTTCGATTGCTCTGTTTTGACAGGGTTGAGGATTTAGGGGCAAGTTTAGGGGTACAGGAGTTCGGGCCCCGATGGCCAAAGAGCCATTTCTAGCGTCCATGTCTTTTCATGGCGGCATGTACGTATAGCATGCCTTGTTATTGTGCACAGCGGGATCATGTTTGTGCACGAAATCCAAAAAGTCTCGTAAAGCTTCTCTCCCTGCTGGCCAAGACCCCTGGGAGGATCCAAAAAGTGGATCGCCCGAAGTATCGGGTACGATGGGCGGGTTCTGCTTTTTGGATCCTGCCAGGGCTCTGGGTAGACTGTATCCCCCTTGGGAATCTTTTTTTTTGTTGTTTATATGAAACCCAAGAGGATACTAAGAATATTATGTTGATGAAGAATCTAAGGGGTGTATAGTAGAAGCATCGAAGTATCCGTCACATCCGGGCTGTTCCGGGAAGGGGCGTCTGCGCGTCATGCGGGTTGGCGAGACGAGGCCGGAAGGGGCCCGGGGATTTCTTTACAGGGCTTGCAGGGTTTAGGGTTTAGGGTTTGGGGTTTAGGGTTTAGGGTTTAGGTTTAGGGTTTAGGAAGGCTTGCAGGCCCTAACATCCTCAGCAACACATAGCAACCCTATGCTCGCAAACTCTCTAGAGCACTTCGGCTCCCGGCTTCTTTTGCTTACTTCTGGCTTTGCGACCTCGCTTCTTACAAGACGTCATGCTGCCTTGACACATCTCCTGCGGCCAGGAGGAACGGCGAGAAAGTCGGCTTGGGCTGGATGAGGCGACGCACAGAGACAGCAACTTTCATGGGTTTCGGAGTTGAGGGCTTAGGCTTCACCATGTCCACCAGGACCTGTGGGTCATACGTGGAAGTCGACGTGTTGGTTTCTCATGTATGTGATCAGCAGCTAGCATCTTAGGTTGCGTTTTGAGTCTCCTGCCACCCTCAACCCTCAACCCTCAACCCTCAACCCTCAACCCTCAACCCTCAACCCTCAACCCTCAACCCTCAACCCTCAACCCTCAACCCTCAACCCTCAACCCTCAACCCTCAACCCTCAACCCTCAACCCTCAACCCTCAACCCTAAACCCTAAACCCTAAACCCTAAACCCTAAACCCTAAACCCTAAACCCTAAACCCTAAACCCTAAAGCCATGCCACGGTCAGGTACTGTGCCCAGCTCCTGTGGCATGGGGAGTCCGGCACCCAGCACTTTGTGGGAGGTGCATCATGCCCAGAGCCCTAAACCCTAAACCCTAAACCCTAAACCCTAAACCCTAAACCCTAAACCCTAAACCCTAAACCCTAAACCCTAAACCCTAAACCATAAACCCTAAATCCTCCCCTCGTGAGGGAAGATCAGGCAGTGGGTTCATGCGGGTGGGAGGATTGCGTCGCTTCTTGATCGGCTCAGCAGCATCAGACTCAGACTCTGTCGGTCCAAACTGGCCGAGTAGGGTTTAGGGTTTAGGGTTTAGGGTTTAGGGTAGAGACATGGCAGACATCCGCGTGAAACCTTTGGGAGAGCTCCTAGGAGAAAGCCGTGAGAATGTACAGGACGACATCGGGCAGGTGATTGCATTGTCGATGCAAGCAGACTTGTTTCCGGCTTCTTGCTACAAAGTTGCGTTGTTCTTTTCTAGTTTGAGGGGCAGTCGTTTCAAGAGAGTCTTCCTGTAGCAGTTGCAACAGCCAAAGGCTACGGCCTCCTTGCCGCTCGGAAGCTGGCTGCTTGCAGCGTCTCATTCGTCAGCATTGTGGACCACATCCACGGATGATTACCATCGATGGAGCAATGTCTACTCCCATGTGGCGCTCATTTCGGAGGCTGTGGTTGGGGTCCTTGCGGCATGCGTGAGAGGTGCCGAGCTGTGCATCAACTTTCTGGCAGTGCGCCCGGAGTGCCGGGAGCCTCGCGTGAAAGTCGGAGCCTTGCTCCTTGAGGCCTGCTTGAACCAGGCCCAGGCATCACCCAGCTTGCGTTCAGCATGTGGAGTGGTGTACAAGAACACCTCTTGGCTGATGAGCCTAGCATCAACGTTCAAGTTTCTTGAGGTGCAGGACTTGGGCGGGAAGGTGCTTCTTGAGCGAAACTTCCCGGAGCCTACACATCGGACACAGCAAGAGGTCACCCTCAGTGCCCCGACAGCGCACAATCTTCAGGAGTTTCAGAAGCTGGATCAGCAGAACCTTCCGCTGTCTTATGGTCTCGATTTCTACCGCAGAGTGCTTCTACATGCGGGGCTTTCACGCCTGGCTTCCGTGGATGGCAAGGCTGTGGGAAGCTTGAGCGCTCGACTGGTTCGTTCCAGCCGTTTCGTGACCCAAGAAGGTGACAGACGGTTTTGCTAGTTTAGCACTGTATAAACTAGATACTGTATAACTACTTTATTTCCAGCATCTGCTTCTTCAGTAGTGATGTTCGGTCGTTGAGCTAACCCTTCTTCTTTGGCCGAGGCTACGAGGATTTTGTGTACATCGGCAACTTGTGCGTGAGCACAACTTCTCGTCGCCGTGGGGTGGGAGAGCAGCTGGTTCACTGGCTGTTGGACGAAGTTCGTCGACAGCCGGAAGTTTCATGCATCTACGCGCACACAGAAGTATGCAACAAGCCAGTGCTATCCATGGCCGTGAAGATGCAGTTCCACATCATCGGGCTTGCGCCGGGATACTACTCTCAACCTGCCACTCCTGATGCCTATGTCCTTTTCTGGTGCAAGCCGGACAGGCAAACAGCAGGATCACAGCACCCAATTTCGATCCACGATCTCGAGGAGGCAGTTCGACATGCGGCAGAGTTGGACCGACAATGTTTGAGTTCTGATACACCTGGCAACCGTGAGATTTCCAGGGAGGAATCAGGGCATGATGGCTCCTCATCTGACAGCGAATGGCTGCTGGTGGAACCTGTGAGCCATGATTCGTGCCTCTAGTAGGAGCCGATTGAACAGCAAGGTGTCACATGCAGGAAGTCGCTGTGCAGCTGCGTGCGATGGAGAAAGAGCTGGCAATGACTTGCGTAGCAACCCCAAAGAAGTATTGTAAAACTGAGTGGAACTCTACTGCTCTTGTTATCGCAGGTGCGCAGCCACTAAGTCGGTACTCTACAGAAGACAAGGTTTGGGGCTCTCTTACAGTAGGAGCTGTGCTCGTTGCATGTGCCTCATGTGCCACATGCGCCTTAGGGGTAGCAGCTGCTGTCTCCACCAATTCGGGCTCAGCATTTTGCTGGGGTGGGAGGAGTGGGTGAGCTCGAGGCAGCTTTGGCGGCCCAGTAAACCCTAAACCCTAAACCCTAAACCCTAAACCCTAAACCCTAAACCCTAAACCCTAAACCCTAAACCCTAAACCCTAAACCCTAAACCCTAAACCCTAAACCCTAAACCCTAAACCCTAAACCCTAAACCCTAAACCCTAAACCCTAAACCCTAAACCCTATAAACCCTAAACCTTAGACCCTAAACCCTATAAACCCTAAACCCTAAACCCCAAACCCTAAAACCCTAAACCCTGACACCCTAAGGCCAAAAGCCCTTTGCCGTAACCTCGCCTCCCTTTGCAACTCCCAAGACCTGAGGCCCTACGTCTACCAGAGCTGTAGTCTGACTCCCAGTGGGGGACTGCGGTCTGCGTTCTTGGATTTAGGGTTTAGGGTGTAGGGTATAGGGTTTAGGGGGTTGAAAGGTTTTGGGTTTTGGGGGTTGTTCTGCAGCTGGAGGTTGCGCTACCAGGACCGTGGGAGATTTTTCCGCACCTTGTGGCGGGAAGACTTTTCCAAAGGCTCTTCCGAACCGACCCAGCGGATTCATGTTTGGGGGGCCCCTTGCAGGGCTGCACAGTGGGGGTTAGGGAGTTAGGGTTCAGGGTTTAGGTGGGGGCTACTCAGAACCCTGAAGCTAGAAACACGAAAAAAACACTGAAAGCCCGAAGCCCGAAAATCCGAAGGGGGTTTCGGGTTTCAGGGTTTAAGGCTCGTGTTTAGCTGCGGCGGCAAGAGAGGGTGCCACGAGTCTCAGTGCACCTTAAACTCAGGCATTTATTACTTTTCACAGGGTTTGGGACTTAGGGTTTGAGACTTAGGGTTCAGGGTTTTGGGGTTGAGGGTTGCACTGAAGCCCAGGGACGTACCTACGCTTCGCCCCGATGTGGGATGAGCGGCGGCCTCGGTGATCTGCCCCAACCTGCCTTAGTTCTCCAAACTTGGGAGGTTCCCTCATATACCAACAGTCCTTAATAGGGATTATCATAAGGGGGTACTATAATCCCTCAGAATAATAGAGGGTACTATAATCCCTTAAACTGGGGGGTACTATAATCCCCATGAAAGGAGTATTGGTATAAGGGGGAACATCCCAAATCCAGACGCCAGTGTTGGAGGGAGGCCTTTGTTGGCAAGATTCGCGTGAGGGCCATCGTGGGACACGGAACCTCTGCTGCCCCGAAGTCGTACCCCCTAAACCCTAAACCCTAAACCCGAAACCCTAAACCCTAAACCCTAAACCCTAAACCCTAAACCCTAAACCCGCAACCCTAAACCCTAAACCCTAAACACATCCGAAACCCTGACTTTGGACTTGCAGCAGCTTCTTTTTCGAAGCATCCGTCGCAGGTGGTTGCGGAATGACTTGGCTGTCGCACTTCGTAGGCCCGCGCAGGGTGCAAGTAGCAGAGAGGTCATCTTGGCGGGCACCCAGTGAAGACCCCAACTCTGAATTAGGGCCCTTTTTTGGGGTTACTACCATAATCTTGAGGGTACCAAACAGGGACCATAATGTAGAGAACTCACCATGTGAGAATTGGGCTGTGCGTTTTTAGTTTCGTTTCTCTTTGCAGCAGCATGCGTTCTGCAGAGTGGCTGGCAAGCAAGCGGCCCCAACAGGTCACAGCTGAAGCCAGTCATTAGCTGGATGTCACGGACGCACGAAGATGAGCCGCAATCTCGGCCGCTCTTTCTGGTGCTGCTGCAATAGTTAGGGCCCCAAAAAGCACATAAGCAAAGCAAAAATTAGGATTGGGATGTCCCATATAAACCCACCCCCTTGTAATGAAGCCCAATAAGGTAGGGCTATCCCTATAAAATGCTTATGCTGATGTCCTTTTTGGGTCCCTGCAATTGTGTGGTAGAGAGAGGGCATGTTCAAAGCAGCGCACAAGCAACCACGAGACCTCAAGAGCATCCTCGTTCCCACTGCCACCCCAAACCCCTCCCCCTCGTCTCCCTTCGCCCCTTCTGAACCCTAAACCCTAAACCCGAAACCCGAAACCCGAAACCCTAAAGCCAAAACCCTAAGCCCTAAACCCTTTTTTTGGGCCCCCCAAATCAGGAGATGGCAGTGGATCAGTGAGCTCATCGACTGCGCGGCTGGGCTTCTTTAGGGACTTGAGGGTTTAGGGTGTAGGGTTTAGGGCTACAGCACCAGGATTGTGGCTTTCACGTAAGAACGGCCCCCGCACAGCCTTTCATGTGGGTCCGAAATTAGGGGTACCTTATTGGGGTCCTTATTCTAATTCCTAAACCCTAGACCCTAAACCCTCAACCCTAAACCCTAAACCTCAAACCCTAAACCCTAATCCGAGCAGCTGTTTAATTGGGGGGGAGGGGGAGGCCCCCCACCGCAACAAGAAAGGCAGGGCGTCGTAATAAGACCATGGCCATGTATTGATTCTCTATTAACAACAATTGGAATCCGATCCAGACTGCAGCTCAGCAAGCAAGGAAGGAAGAAGCCTGCAGACAGATCTTTGAACCCCCCGCCGAAAATGTTATCTAAATTTGGTGGTTTTCCCCATACGAAAACCCCAGTAATGGAAAGTAGTCTTGCAGCCGGATTTTCGACCACAAAAACTTCTTTATAATGTAGAGGTATCAATTAAACAGATGCTCGGAATAAACCCTAAACCCTAACCCTAAACCCTAAACCCTAAACCCTAAACCCTAAACGTTAAACCCTAAACCCTAAACCCTAAACCCTAAACCCTAAACCCTAAACCCTAAACCCTAAACCCTAAACCCTAAACCCTAAACCCTAAACCCTAAACCCTAACCCTAACCCTAAACCCTAAACCCTACCCTAACCCTAAACCTAAACCCTAAACCCTAAACCCTACCTAAACCCTAAACCCTAAACCCTAAACCCTAAACCCTAAAACCCTAAACCCTAAACCCTAAACCCTAAACCCTAAACCCTAACCCTAAACCCTAACCCTCCAAACCCTAAAAACCCTAAACCCCCTAAACCCTAAAACCCTAAACCCTAAACCCTAAACCCTAAACCCTAAACCCTACAATTTTGGGGGGCCTAAGTCAGGGGTCCCTATATTTTCGTAAACCCCCCCCCCCCGTTCTCAGGAGGGCAACTGCAACGTGCCGCCGGGCGCACTGGCAGCAAGGGCCTCAAAGCACAGCCGCGACCTAACTTCGCCATGCCCCTTGAGTTTAGGGTTCAGGGTTTAGGGTTTGGGGTTTGGGGTTTGGGGTTTGGGGTTTAGGGTTTAGGGTTTAGGCTTTGAGGTTTAGGGTTGGTTTAGGGTTAGTTTAGGGCTTGGGGTTTGGGGTTCAGGGTTCAGGGTTCAGGGTTTAGGGTTTAGGGCTCCTTACACCATTCGTCCTGCGCGCCAAAGTGCGGACATGCTTGAAGTTTAAGCCCATGCGGAGTCCCACATACAATGAGGGTTTAGGGTTTAGGGTTTAGGGTTTAGGGTTTAGGGTTTAGGGGGAACTAGGGCCCTATGCCCTGGGAGGGATGCTTGAAAAACGGGGCACCTCATGCCCTGTTTTCAGCTACCTCCAGAACCAACACACGAGCCCTAAGCCCGAGCAAGTCGTAAACCCACCCCTCGATTCCAGGCAGCGGGCTTCGACAAGAACTTCGGCTGGATCAGGCCAGGGCCTGGCGTTTTTGTTTCATATTATTGTTGTTTGATCTGATATATACTGTTTTCTTTTATTTTGCAGTATTATTATTATTATTATTATATTTTTTTTTTTGGGGGGGGGGGGGGGGGTGGGGGGGTTGAACCAGTTTCATATTACTAGTTGAAAAACATATTCTTCCTTCAAAGGGCATGATGGGGATTGTGCTCTCTCATTTTTGGGGGGGAGGGGGGGAGGGGTTCTGAAGCCTACATGGTCTCAAGGGAACGGCACGCGCCTCTCAACAAACAGAAGCAACAAAACAAAAGCAAAGGGTTTAGGGTTTGGGGTTTAGGGCTTAGGGTCTAGGGTTTAGGTTTTAGGTTTTAGGGTTTAGGGTTTAGCTGCGAAGCGCTCACCCCCATCCCCATCAACAAAGGCCTTCGTGGGCCGACTCCCCGACTTGGAGTACCCTACTAAACCCTAAGCCCTAAACCCTAAACCCCAAACCCTAGACCCTAAACCCCAAACCCTAAACCCTAAACCCTTAACCCTCAACCCTCAACCCTCAACCCTTAACCCTTAACCCTTAACCCTCAACCCTCAACCCTTAACCCTTAACCCTTAACCCTAAACCCTAGACCCTAAACCCCCGAAGCATCTTCAGCCCTGCCCCCGCCTTGCGGGCCTAGGTGGCGGCGTCGGTTCTTCAACCATAGCTCCCGGGCTTCGAAGAGCTTGTTGATGACTCATACTATTACGACTATACTATTAGTATGAGTTTTTTGATGACTATTATTACTTGTACAATTACGACTATACCATTAGTGTGAATGTTTTTGATGACTATTGTTACTATTACGACTATACTATTAGTATGAATCGTTTTTGATGACCATTGTGTCTATTACGACGATGATTAGTATGAATAAGTTCTTTTTTCGTGTCATGGTTGTCAATGACATTTTGCCCCCTTCTTTATTCGCATTTGCATGGTCATGACGTTCACTATTTTTTGTCCTTATGGTTGCTGCTTTTAGTTTTGATGATGACGGTGTTTGTGATTACGCCTGGTATTAT